CTATATTTAACGAGGTTCGCTCCTGAGCTTTTGAGCAGATTTTCATTTTAACCTATATTTAAAAAATTCTGGATAATGTTTTAATTCTTACAATAAATTTGGATTCTACAATGTCAAATAAACTATATTCAGTTAAAACTCCATGATTAAATTCCATACCAAAAGCATTAAGTGAGGAACTATATTTTGTGGCGGAAGGTTTTTTAGAAGAAAATGATAACTTTTTCCCTTTCGAAGTATTTAAAGTATGTTAAGTTTGGACTCCTATTTTTACATGCAGTCTGCACACAGAGTTATCTTGTGCAGTGAACTGTTTTATACTGGTCCTAAATTATATATCTAATAAACTGTCATGAATTCTATCATCATATTTGATAAATATAGCAAATATATTGTGAAAATTAAGAAAAAAAATAGCCCTATTTTAAGCTCAAAATTAGCACTTTTTTAATAATATCTAAAAATTAACATCACAGACCCCCACTTTTAACTTTCTTTTCTGAATATATAAGATACTTTTAACCATTCTTCTTAAATTCAGTAAAATGGCATAACTTTTTACTGAGTTGTTTGCTTGTTAAATTATTAATGTTATCAAAATGAAATTTTTTGAGTGCAAAAAGGTCAAATAATTGAACATGCGGAGTAATTTGAAATTTTTTTCGTTGTCAAAAATTTTAATGGGTCTATTCAAGATGAAATAAGACAGTGTTTGTTCCCGTAACTTATTTGAATAAAAAATATTGGAGGAATACTGTAAAAAATGATTTATGTGCAAGACGTTTTTACAGTGCAAAAAGGTCAAACTAAATGCTCTGTAGCGCCAAAAGAAGCGCATTGACCCCCATTTTTTGTTTTGATTTTTAATTACAGTGGCTGCAACGTTATTGTTGACAACTTACACGAACGATCACGTTACACGAACGATTCCGCACGATCAACGCACGATAAAATCTGTTACACGAACGATCCTTCACGCACACGATTCTACACGTTACACGATCTTACACGATTGCTAACGCAAACGCTCGATTCTTCACGCAAAATAGTTCAAATTCTTTAGGAATGGATATTTTCAAAACGAAATAAGGCTGAATACTTATTTTAGTTTGCAAATAATTATTGATATTATTTCATCGACTTTGAAAAATGAAAAAAAAAAAAAAAAAAATAGAAATGGATATTTCTGGAACCAAATTCATGTAAGGCTTATTAATTATTCTAGATTACAAATAACAAATAATTATTTAAGTAATTCTCCGACTTAAGAAAACTGATTTTTTTTTTCTATCAGATGTACATGTAGGTGGATCGTGAGTTTTGATTGAATTGGATTTCATAATATGCAGAAAGAGATAAGTTTGAAAAAATGACATGAAAATGAATTAAATTATGTAATATCCATGTTTCCATTTGCGAATCTCTTAAATCAACAATTATTTTACAAAACATTTATTTGCAGAAATTATAAAAATAATTAAAATTAAGCTCCAGAGATAAACACTGAGAAACGAAATCCCGACAATCATGTCGTATACATGTACATGTACATTCGCCGACTAAATATTTATGTCAGCATTGAGAGTTGTTTATTTATTTATTTGTAAAATTATCTATTTTTGATCTATTGATTTTAAAAATTTCTTGACCATAATTAGCAGTAAACATAATTAACATCAGAGAAAAAAAATCCTTAATCATCTAAGTACGGTTTATCACAAAAAAATTACGCTATTTGAAGAGAACACAATATTGTACGACTTACTATATTGCTTATTTCCAAGCGATAATTAGTTCGTACTGCTTTTAATTATGTCAATCACTCTTCATTTATTTTATTTGGATTGAAAAAAAAACAGACAAGAGAAATGCTTGTATAACAAATAACATTCCGATAAAAACTTACAAAACGAAATTTACACGTTTCTTAACGCACGATCACGCACGATTAAAACCGCAAACGATTGAGTCTGATACACGCACGATCTCGCACGTTACACGAACGATCACGCACGTTACACGAACGATTCTACACGATTGGTTTGTCAACAATAACGTTGCAGCCACTGTAAGCTATGTGTATAAATTCTAAAAATATACTTGATAAAAAATTCTCATTACTTTTGATGTCAGAATCCAACCTCCTTAAAGTTTAATTTCAGGTCAAAGAAATGATTGGAATCATTCAAAACGTAATATAAACTAAATCTTGTCGTTTTTTGGGTGGTATAAATAGCTAAGTATTTAGCACGGGGGTTAAATACCAAACCCAGTGACGTCATAACTATTGATCAAATAGTTAAATGTGACGAGAACTCATGTAAACAAATAGATGAAATGGGAGTTTTAAAGCATATACCGTGAATGTTATGTGTGATTCATAAGGAATTAAAGATTAAGAATCAGGTACGCTGATATATTCTTATCATGTTTTCTTATAATGAACACAGGCAGTGCTTTGAAATCCCGATCAGGCTTTCCTCTGTCGTTTTATAACAACAAAGATGCAAAAGTTCAACACTACGCCGCATACTTTGAAACAAATTTTTTGTTTGTATCGAAAGCTTGTATTCTATAGTACTTGGAAAGTGCTGCTAGAATCGTGTAGTTAACATGAATTGATAACAATTCATTGATCGTATGTATAAAATGTAAAAATTTTGGTAAGGTTTCATGTGAAACTTTGGAATATTTTTTTCTGTGTCGGGAAGGTAGGATTCTAGCAGCACTTTTCATGGCCCAGTGATGTTTTTACATAATTATTTTCACTAAAAGAAATAAATTAGCTCCGGGGTAGTGTTGAACTTTTCACTTTTTCATTAAGTCAATTTTTCTATTTATAGACGTCACGTGATGGCGTCGTAGTGGAGTGCTTTGTTACAATGCGAAATGTAATAACAACGCAAAATGTAATAATCCGGGATTATTGCATTTTGCATTATTACATTTTGCGTCGATATCAACGCAGAATGTAATAACGCAAAATGTAAAAACAGACTTTTTAGGATTATTACATTTTGCGTTATTACATTTTGCGTTGAGATCAAGGTAAAATGTAATAACGTTAAAAGTAATAACACCATTTTTGGGTTATCACATTTTGCGTTGTTACATTTTGCGTCGAGATTAAGCGAAATGCAACAACGCAAAATGTAATAACACACTTTTAAGTCAGTCAGGTTGAGAATAATTTTCAATTGAGTAGTGGATGAAGAAAATAAATGGAAAAAGTAAAACAAAAGGAAAATAAACATATGTTTATTCTTTCATTATATCTCATTTCATCATATATTGATTTCATTAGCTATTTAAAATCAGTTGATATCCAAATCATAGGTATTGCAAATTAGAGACGTATGTGTGTGTTGGGGGGGGGGGGTTCGTTGATCAGTGTATTAGTTTGCTTTTGCTTTTTGATAGGCACATGCCTGAAATTTAGTAAAGAAATCTATTTATTTTTACTGGCAGGTGTAAATATAGCAGGAAAGGGGTTTCTTGACAATAAAAATTTCATACTGTTTTACAAATCATGTGTATTGCAGACCAGCAAAAATAAAATTCTCTCTCTCTCTTCAACAATAAAATAGATGGTTTCTGCATCTGCATAGAAATACAATGATCAACATACGTGTAACCCCTACCCCCTGCTTCTCCTCGCTAGACACACACACACATGCACCTCTAATTTGCTAATCAATGTACACATGCATGTCGTACATGCATATCAAAACTTTTTAATGGACCCATGGTCAATCTTTGGTAATTAAGAATGTCAGTGATGGATATATAATACAGACTGATTTATAAATAGTCAATCAAAGTTTAGTTAATATTTTATAAGTATTCAATAAAAATGTTAGAAACAGCATTAAAAAAACAATTAGATTTAGTAATGTCCGTAAAAGCCGTAACGTTAAACTTTGTCTCAGGGTCATAGATATGTCTGTCTATTTAGTGAAGCGAGTTTCCCCATTGTTATATGTTTCGATCAATTTTGTGATGTTCTGAGTTGAACACAATACAAAAAATAATAATATTTTGTTTTATTACATTTTGCGTTGTCCCCAACGCAAAAATTAAGTGACGTTAAATGTAACAACCAAAAAGTGCATTATTACATTTCGCGTTAATCCCAACGCAAAATTTAATAACGCAAAATGTAATAATCCAAAAATCTTGTTATTACATTTTGCGTTATTACCTTTTGCGTTGATCTCGACGCAAAATGTAATAACCCCAGTCTATTACATTTTACGTTGTTATTACATTTCGCGTTGTAACAGTGCTTCTTTTAGCCTAAGACTCAATGACGTCTATACAAGGGATAATAATAGTAAATGTTTTATCTATGATTTTTCCGATTTATCAATGTTACATTTTACGAAAAAAGTCTAAATTCGCCTAAATATGATCTGGGTACTGCCTTAACATACCCGCGTAAATCAGGATACACCATAATAAATATACAATAACTAATACTGAGAAAATTTTGAAAGTCAAGAGACACTGCTAGGCAATCACTGACAACAACTAAATTTTGATTATCGTTGTGCTATAACTAATAGAAAGAGCTTGATGTAAAGAACACTTAAAAGGTCACAAGGTACCAAAAATTTGTAGAAAGTGTAGATTTCATCAGTCTTTCTTGTTTTTGCTGTTTTTAAGTTCAAATTAATTTGTTAAAATAGTAAAAATTAAAATTGAATTTTATATATTCTGAGGGATTTCAATTATTTACAGTGACCAACTATCAACTTGTTCATTCAATTTATACCATATTGTTTAATGTCTCATTCTGTAAGGTAAATTTAAAAAAAAAAGACATTGCTACATGTATAATTTTATTAAACGTATTCATTACGGCTCCCACAAATAATAGTTAAGGTGCATAATACTAATCAAATGCCTTTAATCATTTTGGCGCTTTTTATTGCAATGGTTCCGGGATAACAATAAGATAGAGTACGATTTGACTTGCCACTTTATATTTTACGCACAAGGAAAGTGTATTAGGAAGTTAATAACAAAGTAACAACATGTCTTTTCATATTGAATGTAGTACTGCTGATCAAACAGAACCTGATAATTCCGAGGTGGATTACTTTCCTTACGATCCAGAGGTGACAGATTTAACTTTAATTGTGGAAGAAAAAAAGATACATGTGGCCAAAGTCGTGCTAATGGATGCATCACCGGTATTCAGAAAAATGTTTACTGATGACTTTAAAGAGAAAAACGCAGCAGAAGTCCATCTTCCTGGAAAAGAATATTCCAGTTTTGTTTCGTTTCTGAGATGTATTTGTCCGAGAGAATACGTCACCCTTTCTGGTACTATGCATATTCATCTGATACTGTAATGAGAAAAAAAAAAGAAAAAAAAGAAATAAAACACAACCGTACAGGTAACAATCGTCAATTGCTTAAACATTGCTTGGTTTAAGATATAACTTTTATATTTCATTTTTCAGAGAGTTCTATCGAAGATCTTTTGCCAATAGCACACGAGTACGATGTGAGGTGCGTTTTAAGGAAATGTGAAAAATGGCTTTTGACAGAGCTCGATCTTAAGAAAAAGAAAGTATCGGGCCATCATTTTAGTGTTGAGGATGACGTTGAGTATTTCATGAAGTGTATATATTATGGCAGCGAGTATGGATTGAGAGAATTGTACGACAAATCCTTCAAAACAATGATTCCATACAAGCTTAAGAGGTATATGTCAAATGAATTCTACAAGATGCTTCCTGAGAAAAATAAAAGGGAACTAACAGAAACACGACTCGCAAAAATTGAAGAAATGGGGACATTACTAATTAAAAGACCAGGCATTCCTGAGAAGAAAAATCAGACGACCCCATTTTACTTTTCATCAACACCTGGTTTCTCACTATCAACATCTCCGACAGAAGTCTTTCAATGTTCAGCTGATTTATTCATTTAAGAAACACAGTTAATTATTTAGGATGTTTATTTTCCGATGCGAAGGATGACAAAAATGACAAGAAAGTAGTAATTAATTTGTAGAATTTTAAAAATTGTAACTAGGAAGAATTTGATGAAATAAGCTTAATTTGAAACATATCAAACGATGCTCATACATGTAAATGTATGTTACGTATATATATATATATATATATATATATATATATATATATATATATATATATATATATATATATATATTACGAAAGCCGGATAGGCTCATTTTTTACAAGACAAAAAAAATATTTAACTCGTTATAACGAGATAATTATCTCGTAATAACGAGTTAGTATCTCGTTATAACGAGTTAGTATCTCGTTATAACGAGATAATTATCCCGTTATAACGAGTTAGTAATCTCGTTATAACGAGTTAGTTATCTCGTTATAACGAGTTAGTTATCTCGTTATAACGAGATAATTATCTCGTTATAACGAGTTAGTTATCTCGTTATAACGAGTTAGTTATCTCGTTATAACGAGAAAATTATCTCGTTATAACGAGTTAGTTATCTCGTTATAACGAGTTAGTTATCTCGTTATAACGAGATAATTATCTCGTTATAACGAGTAAGTTATCTCGTTATAACGAGATAATTATCTCGTTATAACGAGTTAGTTATCTCGTTATAACGAGATAATTATCTCGTTATAACGAGATAAAAATTGATATAGAATTGATATATCTAAGTAAAGAATAGACCATTATTTATAGGAAATATACAGAAGCAAGTCGATCAAATTTGTTTGAAGTGTGTGTGATAAAGATTTTATGGAACAGCATACTAGTTTTTTTGTGTTATGCATTTGATTAGTATTGTTTATTGGAAAGACCGAAGACAAATATACGGAAACTTGTGACCCCCTCATGTTGTTGTGTCATACCTTAAAATTGCAAAATAGAATTAGTGTCATCTTCAAATGGAATGTATAAAACATCAAAATTTTGTCAGCTTGTACAAGGAGATCAGAAAAAAATGATATACTCTGACTGATTTAACTGCCCTGTTCAAGCTTTCTTGAATTTGTTAAAATTATAATAATGTTTGCATAATATTTGTCGCAATAAAAAATGCATAGAAATAATCCCATTTTTTTTTTTAAATATTCCGAGTAAATCATGTGGATATGAAACCATTTGTTAGGCTTTAACGATCATATTTTGATAATTCCTTGCCTGTTAAAAAGGAATACCAGTTCAATTTTATCGTCTTAGAGTGGCAAAATCAAAATTCAATGTCTGACAAAAAACTAAATTCACGTTGTTTTTATCATCAATCCCTCCTTCCCCGCAATAATAAATATGATGAATATCAAGAACTAACACTGTACTTATCACTTAATAATTTATATATTTCTTCTGTTTATTAAAAGAAAGAAACATTTTAATTTACCAATTTGGCATGGAATTATAAATTACAATATGTAATTTTTGCGTTATTATCAATGTGGTAGAATTAAAAAAAACTTTTGGAGCTCTTTATTCTACGGAAGCCACAAATAAAGGTGAAGGTCAGCATTAGTAAAAACAGTTGACATGTGATCCTTTTTGGGTATAGAATGAAAGTTTAATATCTAAAGTTTACAAAAATAGAAGCATTACTTAAGGTGTATTTCAAGCATAAATTTTGCCAAGAAATGTGTATTGTATGTTGAGACAGGATTTTTGATATTTTCACTCGTGCTTCGCACTCATGAAAATATAAAAAAAATTCCTGTCCCACTCGTGAAATAAATTCCATATCAACTATAAAACATTGAATATCCTCTATTTATTTATAAAAATTATATGCTTGTAAAGTATACATAATAAATATTGTGATGAGGAAAATAATTAACGACATTGCTTCAATGTTGTATTAATAATATAAATGTACATATGTAGTATTAGGTCTATTCGTTGATCAATCCTAAGTAAAAAGATTATAAAAGTGAACTGGCTTTGTAAATTCTGTAAACTTTTTTTTTGTTTTGTAAACTCTGGTTTGACGTTCTGACACTATGTGGTAAACATATAGGATCCGCCAAATAGACGTGAATCTCAAATAGGTCTCCGTGAATCTCTACAACTTGGACCCCTCCCCCCCCCCCCCCCCCGCAAAAAATATAAACAGTGAATCATGACAGAATATTAGATAAAATGTCAATATCAGCAGATCAGATTTAACGTCTTATTACTTAAAAGGATGTAATATCATTTTTGCTTCACCATTCCTCATTATCGTGGACAATATGCATAAGCTAAGTCACAAAGTTCAAAGGGGGGGGGGGGTAAACCAAGTAAAATATTTGACAAGTAAAAAGAAAAAAAAATAGATTTGATATTCCAACTACGAGTATTCGCCATTATTTTCGGGAGATATTTACTCAGGTAAAAAAATATGGAGGAAGGGGCACAAAGATACTCTTGACCGCCCCCTTTTCAAAAGTGGTGTTGTGGACATGAGCCCCTCTATTACTACGCCTATGATCTAACTGCTGATGTCTCACCATCCCCCGTCTTCAAAACATTTCTGAATCTCAGAAGTAACATATGTATAACACTGTAATCTATATATTATATGTTGCATAAACGATATGTGGCACTTATATTGTCTCTGATATTTAATTTTAGCGGTATAGAAATTGATATATGAAAGTGTATAAGTCGTCCAAAACATATCGAAATAGTGTTTTTCATCAGAAATAGTTGTCATAAATAAATTGCCAAAGTTTGAAGCAAGTATGTTTGGCAATATTATTTTAAGAAAAATATCGCGTCCTAATGCAACAATTTGAGGAGGAATTCACGAAAATGTGTAAATGTGTTCGCCTTAGAGTTGCTATGATTATTGACAGCGAGATAGTTCAAGATTTAATCATAAGTAAACCCCAGAGCAAATTAAATTTTCAACCATTTATCAATTGTTCAAGTTAAATTTGACTGATCAATAATTACTTGCTAAAAATTCAATGGCATTTAAAACTGCAGCCATTTTTATTCCTATATTGCTATAAAGTCTCAAAATAACAAGAAAACTGTCTCGTTATAACGACATAATTAACTCGTTATAACGAGATAATTATCTCGTTATAACGAGATAATTATCTCGTTATAACGAGATAACTAACTCGTTATAACGAGATAACTAACTCGTTATAACGAGATACTAACTCGTTATAACGCGATAATTATCTCGTTATAACGAGATACTAACTCGTTATAACGAGATAACTAACTCGTTATAACGAGATAACTAACTCGTTATAACGAGATACTAACTCGTTATAACGAGATACTAACTCGTTATAGCGCGATAATTATCTCGTTATAACGAGATACTAACTCGTTATAACGAGATAACTAACTCGTTATAACGAGATACTAACTCGTTATAACGAGATAACTATCTCGTTATAACGAGTTAATTATTTTTTTATCTTGTCAAAAATGAGCCTATCCGGCTTTCGTAATATATATATATATATATATATATATATATATATATATATATATATATATATATATATATATATATATATATATATATATATATATATATATATTCCTTATGATTTATCTCTTCTGGTGCATGACAAGAAATTGCCTGAGATCAATAAAAGAATTATTGAATAGATAGAAAGCAAGAATCTTTTTAATAATTGTTAAAAAGATATACGTGTTTGAATGCAGCTGATATAATGTAATTTATTTTCAGTGAATGTGGTTCGCTTCCGAAATCAAATACAGAAAAGAGGCCTGTAATGGTACGGCCCAGAAAGGTTTCTTTTGAGTCTTGAAAACTAGTAATGAGCATGTTAAGCTCTAAACATTGTGGACTGCAAACATAAACACTACAGACTGAGTATTAAGTACTAAGTATATTTTATTTTTGATTATTTCGAAGCATGTCAGAAGGATTCATGCTTGCTACACATTCTATATAAAAATAGCAAGTTTCATATATTGCTCATGATGCTAATGTAAGTAGATAAAGAATGGAGACGTACAAGACGAACACAATCCTCTGCTCTGAGACAAGATTTCTAAATTCTACGAATTCATCAAAAAGTTATATATTATTTTATAAAACATTGTGTTGTCAGTAACATCTCTTTACACATTTTACACCTTTTATTGAATTATTCATTGATAAATAATATATTTTTCAGCTATGTCTTAACCTACATATATGAGTCTCATTACCTGACGCCACGAGCGTCCGGCAGATTAAGGATCATTTTTTTCCATAGTGCGAAGCTAAGAGGTCAGAGCTAGTCAGCTTTTAGTACAAACTGATTTACATCGAAATTCCATACTTTAACAACAACAGTAAGCAGAACAAACAATTAATGATGCAAAGTACTGATGTGTTTACTTCCTAAATAGTTTCTTTGCATGCAACTATTTGTTCAATGATTCCTAATAGGACATGTCCATGTAACATTTTTTTCTGCGTTTCTATACTACTGGATCAGTCTATTTGTCTTCAAGGAAAGAGGTGACACAATCATTTTTCGCATCAAATGTCACGAGTAAAATAATTCTTGGAATTTTCTATTCAATGGCTGTGATAATTTCCATGAAATTAAAGTTTATTCTTTTAACCTGATTCTCGAACATTAGAATTTTTATGATTTATTTAAAAAAAGAAGAAGCAACGTATCGTTTATGGGCAGGTAACACTTAAGCAGTGATTTTGCATGGTAACTTTTCCTTCTTATTTTATCTTTAAATGGACCTGTTCAATTAGTCATTACAAAACGACATTCAATAACCGATGCTGGGAACAAAAATAACAGATGGAAGTCACATGACATGCTTTATAAAAGTTCTAAAAAAATGGAACAGACAAAAATTTCTTAAGAGGAAGAACTGGTGAAATTTACATGTTAATTCTGATATATATTTGTCTACACTTAAGCAGTAATGTAACACAGAACATGCTGCATAACAATTAACAATATCTTGTAAATAATTTCCGTATACATTTCTCCAATTTGATTAATAATTTTTCATTCCAAGACAATAAATGAAAATTTTGTCTTCAGAAATATATTTACGGTATTGTTTTTCCAATAGACTCCTCATCAACAAGGGGGATTGTGTGCAGTTTTACT